TCAATAAAAATGAAATTAACTTTTTAAAACTTGTGTAATAAATTTTTTGCTATAATATGAAAATTTCTCTATCTAAAGGAATCATAATAGAAGCAAAATCAAGCATTGTTGGTTAGTCAAAGAGTATTATAAACGAAATAAAAATTATTTTCTAAAAAGTTCAAAAATCCCATGTTAATTAAATGGGAAAAGTATTGTTATTTAGGCAGAGTTAAACGGCATCCTAAAATTTTTTTGTAGTTTCTGGAATTGTTTTTAGGTCAAGAAGAAACGATTTTGACGATACCTAAATGAAAATAGCTAACTTGGGAAATAGCGGACACCCTACAGTGTATAGCTAACTCCTACGAATTATGTAAAAATAACGCCACTCAAACGATTTCCTTTTTAACAAAACTAAGCTTCATAGTTAATTTCCAAAAAAGTTCATTAGTTCCATCACAAAAATGTACCTACTTAGGACTGATTTTGAATTCTAAAAAATTAAGATTAGAATTAACAGAGGAAAAAATAACTCGTACAGCAGAATTATTAAAGGAATTTCAAATAGGATCCAAGTGTAAAATTCAAAGGTTTGCTCAGTTATCAGGGGTGCTGAACGCTTGTTCCCCAGTCGTCGCATACAGCCCGATAAATTGCAAAAACCTCGAAAGAGAAAAGTTTCTAGCCCCTCTCTTAAACAACAACAATTACGAAGACACAATGATTATCAAAGAAACACTTAAAGATGATCTGGAGTGGTGGGCACACCATTTATCAAGTTCCAATCCCATCAGGTCTCATATTTTTTCCATGGAAATACACACAGATGCGTCTACGACTGGCTGGGGTGCACACTGCAATGGTTCATCCGCCCAAGACTTCTGGAGCGCAGAAGAAAAAGCCCATAATATCAACTACCTAGAACTCCTGGCTGTTTTTTCGCCCTGAAAAGTTTTGTGCACCAATCATACAACTGCGAATTTTTACTGAGAGTGGATAATACCACGGCCATATCCTACGTCAACAAGTCAGGCGGTGTGCAATTTCTTAAGTTGAATAAATAGGCTCGCAAAATTTGGCAGTGGTTCGAAAGAAGAAAAATTTGTATCACAGCATCCTACATTCCCTCAAAACAGAACTCAGAGGCAGATAAAGCCTCAAGAAACTCTAACATCGATACAGAGTGGGAGTTGTCAGATGAAGCATTTAAAAGAATCAAACGTAGATTAGGTACTCCCACGATAGACCTTTTCGCTACACACATTAATACGAAATGCAGAATGCGATCGCTCTTTTTACGCCTTCCCACTTTTCGCTTTAATCTTACCTACGATAAGAAAAATCATTCAAGACCAAGCTACGGGGATTATGGTTGCACCAATATGACCGACGCAACCATGGATTCCTTCATTTATGTCACTCGAAATAGAACCAATTATATATTTTGACGCACATCCTGAATTATTAATGTCTCCTTGCAGGAAGAAATCTTACCCTCTGTCAAGAAGTCTTCGTCTGATGGCAGCAACATTATACGAAAAGCGTTCCTAAAGAAGGGAATCCCTGAAGCTTCATTAGACTTATTTCTGTCATCATTATCTAAAAATACGAGAAAACAATACTTGGGATCCTTGAAAGAATGGGAAGTTTTTTCAATATCCAACAACTACAATATGTTCCAGCCAGACATGAACAGTATAATAGAGTTCTTGACCTTTAAATTCAACAAGGGAGCGAAATTCGGCACACTAAATACGGCATGGATTACTTAGAATGTACTAAGGATAGAAGAGGGAACATCGAAAGTCTACTTATTTCCACTAGGAAGCCATTTAAGGCAGTCGGCTCTCAAACCATAAGCCGATGGATCAAATCAACGTTAAAGAAAGCTGGAGTAGACATGAATTCGTTCTCAGCCTACACGACAATATATATATTATACAATTATTCATACAATTCATTTCTTATTTCTATCCTAAAAATATAAAGAGACTCTAAAAATATGAGAGTACAGGCGCGCGCACGAGGAAAGGTGAGGCAGCGCGGGAAATTTTCAAATTTAATACTCTGAACATTGTAAAGTATGTAACAACTGGACACTACTACTTGTAATCATCTTCAAACAAGGCGCCTTCTTATAATTACAATCGAACTTCACGTACAGGTAAGTTCGTTTGATTGTAAAATTATGTTACACATCGAGTGTATTGTTGCGGTAAAACCAATAGCTAATCTTTGCATTAGGGTAAAGAAAATGGTTGATGGTAGTGCGAACTTTAGATATTCTAAAATCTATATAATTCAAAAATTTATAGAGCAAAAGATAGTGTTGTTAACTAATTTAAAAATGAACATAGCTTGGTCAAGTTATCGTCGTTCAGCTAGAATTATAGAATTAAAGTGTTTTGTGTTTTACGGAAAGTCAAGTACTTCAAGAATCTTTTTTGAATTATTCCCAAAGCGTAAAATATTTTTAAAATATTTGATTTCATATAACTTGGGCATAGGTAAATTTCGATAAAACAAAAGCATTGAAAAAAGTAACAAGGCAATTGTAAAGAGTGATAGTGATGTTATTACCTCCAAAATTATTGAAAGTACACCCTGATGCTTTAATGTTGTCCTTCCGGTTTTGCGGCGTTTTAAAGATCTATTTATTAAAAAAAATTTTTTTTTACACAGTGAAAACGGTAGGCCTAACTTGTCATTTGACTAAATTACAATTTTACACAGAAAGAAGGTTAAGTTTGGAGAGACTCAGTCTGAAAACACATTTGCTGTGAAAAATTTGTGTGATTTTGTCAAATGGCAAGTTAGTCATTGGCCACCACTGCGTATATAAGAATTAAAATTTGTTAAATAAATAGATCCCATCGTTTGCCAACGATCGGACAAGGCTTAAAAATTGTTAATTTAGTGCTAGTTTCTCACAAAAAATTTTTAAAAAAATTTATCGATACATACATTGTTAAAAATGAAATTTTATTTTAAAAATTTAAAAATCTTATCGTAAATTATTTTAAAAATATTTTTATTAAAAACTACGCGTGAAAACAAAACTTTTTATTATAATAACGTCCAATTTGATCAATTTTTGACTGAGTTATAAGCATTTAAAACAAAAATTTCCGTAAAAAACGTCATTTTTCAAAAATCTGTATCTCCTGAACCGCTTTATAAAAAAATTTGAAAAAAATCAAGGTAGCTCATTTCGAAGAGTACTAAAAGAAAAAAAATGTTAAAAAAAAATTTGAGATGCAAAAGCAAAATAATTTCCGATTTGGCCTGGAATGCCCCATATATAATAAGTTATTGGAGCCATGGCTGAATTCGAACTGTCCTACGTTTTCGTACCTTCAGTCATCCTTCTCATTACTCACACAATCACAACACACACATGTAAACACAACACAGGACTCTCACAGTTCGGTCGTCCTGTCAATAGTCCGTCTCGGACTAAACATTTCTTTTTCTTTTTATTAAAATACAATACTTTAAAATTATATAAATTATTTTTATTTTTTTTTTTCGTACCATCACCGAATCACTTACATAATAAAATTTTAAAATTATAAAATTTATAAAATTATCAGTCACACTTCAATCTTAAATTTTCTTTTATTCATTATTTTTGAGATTGCACCAAGGTCTCAAATTTTGAACTTCCCATACTCCCGTGTACGGTCTTTGTGTTAGTTGATGATTCTCTACGTCAGCGATAACATAACGATCATTGCGCAATACACGTATCACTCGGTACGGACCCTTAAATTGTCGTCTAAAAGCCAACTTCGTCGGACGGTGATCGAACATGCTCCGCATCTCATCCAATATATTCGTCAAGGTCATTCCCAAATATTCCGGTTTGGAATGGAACCACTCCAAAGCGCCACCCTTAAGTCGAAGACCAATCAACAACCGAGACGAATCGTCGTCAAGGTTATAGGTTGTTATCAGAAGCAGCACACAGAAAAAAACTGAACTCAAATGAGTAGGAAAAGTTACTCATTATGAGTTGCAACAAAAATGATCCCGATCAACTCATTCTGAGTTTCAGGCAAAAAGTATCAAAATGAGTTGGATCCGACTCATTTTGAGTTCAATATAAGTTGTCAATTACAGTTGAATAATAATCATTTTAGCAACTAAATATTAATTAAAATTATTGTTTTTAATAAACAAACATATTGCACATGAAAAAACTTTGGTTCTTAAATCCGATTTATTGAATTTATAAAGAATTGAAAAAAATATTTTTAGGTTAGAACTTGTGAATTTATACCCACAAATACCAACCATGCAACATAAAATACAAAAATTTTAATGGCGCCACTGTCTGAAAACCAAAGATAATGGCGCTAAGTTTAAAATTAAAATAATTAAAATTTAGTATGAAGTAAGCATTATAATAAATACTTATTATAGAAAAATCTAAGCTATGGAAAATGTAAGTAAAATGAAATTAGAGTTTAATATTCTTAAAAAGAAATATATATATAAATATATATATTTAAAAGATTCTTAAAATTATAATTTCATATTAATATATCCTATACACTAAAAATATTTTAATGAAATACTTGTATGTTTAAATCGAACATCTTTATTAACCAAAGAGTTTATACAACTTATATCTCAATAATTCTTATAACAGTCAAACTAATAAATACTCTGAAATATATTATGCTTGTTATAATAACAAATAAAAACTTAGTTACAATGTATTAGTTATATTTCACTACTAAATAGTATTATGACATTACATTGTTTTAATAATAATAATACTTTCAGGCTTTATAAGAACTAATAAATTATTTTAAAAAATTATAATAAAGTCACGTTTTGAAATAATATAGATTAATTCAGTTTTAATGTGAAATCTCTCAAAGAGAAAAACGTAAAAAAAATTTAATTACAAGAAAATGAAAGATTATAAGAAATTTACGTAGGATAAAATAACAATACTTAAGGCACATTGTTTTAAGAAAACATAAATGTTAATGTACCAACAGTAGTTTTTAGTTCGTCTCACTTGGCTTTCTAAGTCCAGCTTTTTCAAGTAAATTTTTTACTGTTGTATAAGATAACATTTCTTTTGTTAGTAGCTTTGTTGATTTTTCTCTAAATATTATTATTGATAATAAGGAGAATTGCCTTTGTATATCATGCGGAAATGTAATGTTGAAAACCCAAAAGCTTGCTAATAAAAGTGGCACGGCTTCTGATGCAGTTACAACAAAAATTGGCTCTCCATCAGAATATGACATTAGAACAATGTCTGTTTCTTCTGGGTTCCCAATTCCTATAAGATAAGGCTCGCAATCTGCAGGTGGAATTGTTTCTTCAATTGCAGTACCACGCTAAAATAAATGAAATCAATAAGAATGTTAATTTTAACACAAATTAAACAGTATAAGAAGACTTTGTTAAATTATTATTAAAGTTAGTCTCAAATATAATTCTAAAAAAAATTTAATTTAAGATAAAAAAATAAAAATATTAATAGTAGAATACCTCATACACCTTAAAGATGGTCTTGTCGGTCGGCTTCTTACTTGGAAGCAGTTTCGGCAAAGATTCAAGGAGTATAAGCGCCTGCTCATTTGAATTTAAGTTTTCAAATTCTTCGTCTTCTACCAATAAATTGGTTATTCTTTTTAGTCCATCTAACCAATTCTCTTTTATTTTAGAAACATCCATATTTACCAAATTCCCATAAGATCTAATAAAAAATGAAGAAATGAATATTATAAGATAAAAGTTTGACACCATATATTATTTTTAAATATATTTATTAATTAGTTTTCTGTGAACTTTTTTTAATTGAGAAACTAATATTATATTATGAGAAAAGTTCTTTAATCATTGTAGAATCTGTTCTTGAAAAATATTAGAATAAATAAAGGTAACTAGCAAAGACTTTCAATAATAGATATTGCATTAATTCATTACTTATAATTTAAATATGAAGTTAGTGAAATAAAAATTATACATATTAATAAATCACGACGACTGAAATTAATAGATGAAAGAGTATTAAAAATGTTAAATATTTATCAATATTAAATAATACTTATAATAAATATTACCAAGGTATGATTTTTTAATGCAGGATATTTCTGCACTAAATTTTTTGCTGACATTTTATTCGTATCTTTTTTCCTTTCACCTCTTGTCGAATCAAGATACTTTTTTAATAGGGTTATATTTTGCTTTCGATCAGTCCTCTCCATTTCTTTCTGCATTTTCGTACAGCTCTCCTTTACATTTTCTCCAACTTCGGCAGATTTTCGTGAAGAGAAAAAACATCTGTCCTTCTTTTTATGCACCTTCTGATTCTCGTTTCAATATCTTCCTGAAAAAGCAGTGTTTATGAAAATTTTATTATTATTAATTTAAAAAATTTGAATAGAATTCTTCGCAAAAATGTAATTATTTTCATAAATAATAACATTCTTCGTAAAAATTTAATTATTCTTATAAATAGCAAAATTTTTTGGCAAAAATTCTATTTTTAAACAAAATTTGAATAAAATTTCGCGAATCAATACAATTATTTTCTAAAATTTGAATAAATCCTTCGAAACAGTTCAATTGTTTTTTAAATAGTAATTTCTGTACGTAAATTCAATTATATTCAAAAAAAATGTTACGAAAGAATAAATTTTTTTTCCTTAATTCGTTATAAAATATTTCAAAAGAATTCAATTATATTTGTAGTTAATAAAATTATTTCCAAAAATTTAATTATTTTTATGAGTAATAAAATCTTTCAAAAATATTCAATTATTTTTATAAATAATAAAATTTCTGTAAAAAAAATTCTTGTTAATATTCTATATTGTCTCTATCCAAATAATAAAATTATTAGCAATAATCCAATTATTTTGGAAAATAAAATGCATTTTAATAAAATTTAATTTAATTGTTCATAAAATTCAATTATTTTAAAAATTTGTAATGAAAACTATTAAAGAAATTTTAATATTTTTAAAAAATATTCAAAGAAATTCTTAAAAAAGAAATTAATTAGAATTTTCAAAAATGTTATAAAAATTGTTCCCGAGAATTAAATTATTTTCCTAAATAATAAAATTCTTGGAAGGAAATCTATTATTAATTTTTTTTATCTTTGATAAAATTCTTTGAAATAATTAGATGATTTTCAATACATTAATTTCAAAATTGAAAATATTAAAAAATGAAAAATTATTTTAAAAAAGTTAAGAAACAAAAAAGCAAACAACAACTAACTTCAAACTGCAAACAGATTACCGGATCATGCACTTTATTAATATAGAAGATAGATAGATAGATTGTACGTACTTGGCTGGTTCCCATTACTGATTTATCTAACACTGGAAAATTTTCCAGAAGATTAAATGCCATTTGAGTAATATCATTATTCGAAATTCGATTTCTCGATGCCATGTTGTTTGTAGCAGCACGAATTATTACACACTCTTGTGCTGATGTTAAATTATTGTTCGCCAGTCCATCAAGCACGTTCTTGGCAAAAGAAGTGGGAACCAAGTCTTTCATGCTGCACTAAAATACGCATTGTAAACAGAATTATAATAACGATGGAAGTTCATTCATAAATATGAAAATTACATGTTTTTAATATTTATATGAAAAGATTATGTAATGAAAAACGATAGAATTCTTATTCTCTTCAATTTTAATATAAAAAAATTTTTTAACCATTAATTATAGGATAACTATATTCAATTTTAAAAAAATATATTTTTAAAAATGCATAAATTTTTTTTTCATATTCTATCCCAAAAATTGAAAATTATTTTTCACTTTGAGAAAAGTAATTGCAAACATGATTTAGCTAATTTTAAAACAAATATCAAAACTTAATATTTTTCTTAAAATTTACTTTAAAGCAATAAAGTAAAATAAATAAATTATTACTTGATCTGTTGTTTTACTCGAACTAGCTACAGCTGTAAATTCTTTCGGTCTCTTTTTTCGTGTTGAATTTAGCGATTCTCTATTGCTTTCAATGGTAACTTTCTCATTTACGCACACTGCTGTGTCATTCACACTTGATGCGCTTACATTTCCTGCTGTGAATTCCCCACTTTCATCTAGGAATAGAAAATTGTTTTTAATCAATTAATTTTTTTCTAACTTGCTTTTACAGCATTCACAATCGATAATTAATTTAAAAAAAGTAACTTAAAGTAGCTAGACAGAAATTTGAAAACAAAAAATACTAATTATAATCAATTATTTTTTAAATTTTTAGTTGGAATTCTTCAAAAAATTTTATACCTTCGATTCGAGCATGCTTCGTCGGCATACAACCGCAATAATAGCAAGCTGGTATTTTTGTCTCCTGGTCACATTGATACTCGCAGCAATCGCATTTTTCCGTCATACACCTTCCTCTTTTAATATTTCTTGGGTCGATATTTGACATTGTTTTTCTTAATAATTTAAATTAAATTATTTGCAAAACAAATTTTTTAATGCCATATATATTTTTTTATTTTTATATTTGAATGTACTTACTTGAAAAAGTTAATATAAGTGAGGTTATGTTTTACCCGCAAAAATTCTAGGAAGCAAAAGATCTTTTTATCACTGGCTTACACTTTTGAATAGTTTCCCGTTCTACAAACTTATTTTATTTTCTTTAATTTTTTACTAATCACCAATCACAATGCAGAAAATTTAAGAATTCAATAAAGTTTATAAAATGCCGCTAATAATATTGAGGATCCTTTTTAATAGAGTTGTGGTATGGTGTATTTAAGATGTGCGCAGACGCACGAGGAAAATAAGCGCGCGACAATCACTTAACGTTTTTACTTATAAAAAATATATAAGATATAAATTTACTTTTGAAATAATTTTTTTTAAATATTAAATGTAAAAAATATTTTTTAATTCAGTTTTATAAATTTTCAATGCAATCAAAAATGATATTTTTTCAAAAAAGGAAAAATTACAAAAGTGTATTGATCCATCGTATCGAAAATTATCGAATCGACTACATCAGAATATCAGATGTTACAAAATGGCGTATCCACTTTGTTTTCTGTTGATTTGTATCACTGTTGATGTGTTTCATTTGTGACATGAGTGGCTTCTACAAAGAGTTTGCGGATAATTATAATAAAAATTAAGAAAAGAAATGATTATATGAATCTGAAAATAACAAAAGAAAAGGATATATCAAATTGAAAAATTGTGTATGAAAGTTGAGATTAGCCCAATGTCACCGAAAATCAGAAGACGATAAGTGTAAGAAGTAGTTCATTTGACGGATGTTTAAAAAAGCTACAATAAATTACGACGTATTAAAATATAATAGAAATTAAATATTTGAAGTTGGTAACTAATTTTTAAATTGTATATGAAAGAATATTATAAGCCATAGTTTTATAAAATAAATAAATAAGGATTATAACCTTAAATTTCAATTTGTATTATTAGAAGTGTGTAAAAATATGGAAAAAAGTGTAATACTTCTTGGAAATTAAAAATGCTGCTCATTGAATACACTTTATACTTAACTTCAATAAATTTTAAGATTTTTTATTATTAATTTTAAATATAAAAAATGGTATTTTATTATAGAATATTGGGTTGGAGAAAATAGAGTTTTTTTCAAGCTTTATGACTTGTGAAATATAATAAGCATTATTAAGAATTCATCATTTTGAGAATGTTTGTTATGAAAATAAAATTAAAAAGTTTGACAAAAAAATTTGTAAAACACAATAGTCAGGAAGATATACCTATAAATAAGTTACTATTTTTTTAAAAGAAATCAATCTTAATTTACGTAATTTTAAAATGCCTTAAAATGTTAACTTATTTCAAAATAAAACAAAAAATAAATTTTTTAGATTGATCTCAAGTTTATTCACATTATTATTTGGACTATACTATTCACATAAAACATTAGTTTTCATTTGAAGAAATTCATTTCTGATTCTTGCAGAAATTTGATAAATTCTTCGAAAAAATTCTTTCAAAATGGAGTGCAGAAACGTGCAGTGCCAATTTTGTAATGGGGAATTTAAAAGAGAGGACTTAGAGAATCATTTAAAACAAATTCATGCTGATCATCCTGAATTTTCGATTACTTGCAGGATTAACAATTGCAATGCAATATTTAATAAATTAACATCCTTCAGATCCCACAGGCATAGACATCATGCTCATTTGCCCACCATAAATAATAGTGATTCTGGTAACGACGATTTGAATGACAACGATGATTTGAGAAACCCCAATGTCAACGATGACTTCAATCACTCTGAAGACAACGACCATTGGAACTCCGATTACAACGACGATATAAGAAACTCCAGTGCCAACGATGACTTCAATCACTCCGAAGACAACGACTATTCGAACTCTGATTACGACGTTGAATCCAATCACTCTCAAGACAACGACTATTCAAACTCTAATTACGACGTTGAATCCAATCACTCCGAAGACAACGACTATTCAAACTCGGATGATGATAATTCAATTAATTCCATTAATGAGGATGAAAATAATGAAATTTTTGAGGATCCTGTTAATGACGATTTAATTCACCGTGATCTTCAAAAGACAACCCTTGGTCTTATGTTTTTGAGCATGCGAGCACAATGTCATGTAACTAACGATGTAGTTTTGAACGTCATTAAAGGATTAGATGCTGTCGTTAAAAGTTATGTGCACGACAGTCTTCTAAAAACACACAAAATATTAAGTGACGCTAATGTTTGCGATATTAATGATTATATTGATATTAATCAAGAGATAAACAGTATTAATACGGTTCATGGATTGGACACTATTTATAAACAAAATGCCTTCTTCATTGAAAAATTTAATGTCGTTCAACCAGTTTATAAAGATATTTCTTTTTACTTTCGCCAAGTTGGAGAGCAACGCACAGTCGGAAATCGAAATATAAAAATAAAATCAGATAGAATTATTTACATTCCCATCCGCGACATACTCTACAAGAATCTCTGTCAAGATTCTTTTCTTAGTAGCTTAGATTTCACTTGCGAAAATGAAGAAGGTTTTCTCAGTTCCTTCAGAGATGGAACAAGATACAAAATCCATCCAATCTTCTCCCTGCATAAAAAAGCAGTCGACATAAAGTTGTACTATGATGAAGCCGAAATGTGCGACGGACTGGGCACAGGAGCGGGAAGAAAACAAAAATTAGGATTTGTTTACTTTTAATATGGGAATCGGCCTGCAAATTATCAAGGAACTTTATCTTTGATAAATTTAGTATCAATTGTTGAATATTCAACTTTAAAAAAGTATCATTTTGATCCACTTGCTGAAATGCTTGTTGAAGACCTGAAAGAAATAGAAAAAGGAATCGAATTGCCAAGTGGACAAAAAATTTATGGAGGAGTTTCAGCAATAACGGGAGATAACCAGGCGATGAAATGGATTTGGGGTTATAAAGAATCTTACTCGGCCGAATACCCATGTCAATATTGCTTAGTACCATTGCGAGAAATTCAAATCATGACAGTGGAAGACAACCAGCGATTACGATCACCAAGTACTCACGATGAACAGCTAACACAAATTGAAGCAGCGGCAAATGAAAATGAAAGAAAAGAATTAAGTCAAGCATATGGAATTAATAGGAGGGCCCCACTAAGTCAATTAAGCGGATGTCATCCAACAACAACGTTACCACCTGACATTGATAACGATTTGTTTTTGGGTGTTGTACCCCTACATCTAAAACAATTCCTGAAACACTTTTGTCTTAAAAAAGAATATTTGACTTTAAAGGACTTTAACACAAGAATAGCTAATTTTGACTATAGATTCAGCGAGAAATCTTCTAAACCATCCCCAATTAAACCTGATCATTTAAGAGGAAAAAAAAAGATTAAGCAAACAGCATCACAGATGTGGACGTTGGCTGTTATTACGCCATTTATTGTGTTTGATAAAATAAACAATGAAAATTCTCATCATTTAGAAAATCTCATTCAGTTGCTAGAAATAATAGCAATTGTTTGTTCACCAAAAATATCAATGCAGTCACTTAGTTACTTGGAATCCCTTATTCGTTTGTACTTGGTAACGTATTCTAACATTTATAAATCTGATTTAGGAGGACAAATTAAATTTACACCGAAGCAACACTTTCTGTTGCACTATCCAAAGTGTATTAAAATCTTTGGTCCTTTAAATAATTTCTGGACGATGAGATTTGAGGCGAAACACCAGTACTTTAAAAGGATAGTTCAATCTATGCGTAACTGGAAAAATTTGCCTTTTACTTTTGCCTGGAAGCATCAGTTTCGTCAATCATTTGAATGGATTGTCTCAATGGAAAATGAAATTGAAAGTGGACGAAAAAAATTTGTTGCAAAATCTGTGTTTCCTTTCAGGTAGAAAATACAGTACCGTCCGAAATTGTCAGTCCACCCATTTTCAAAGGAATGACAAAAATTTTTTAACATAAAATTCATAAAAAGTAAAATTTTTTTTGGTTTATATTTTGAAAGACGATAAAATTTTAAAAAGAATAAGACCTTACAGAAGTCATTTGGCCAAAATTTGTAGAAGATATTCTTAAAAATCGTCATTTTCAATGTTTTACAAAAATTTGAATAACTTCTAAAATAATGAACGCTTTTTAATAATCTTAGGCTTATTTTAAAGACCATTTTCTACAGAATAAGAATTACTTATAGGCATTAACCTGTAATTTTTAACTTGGAGTAAGCATGACGTCAAAGTTGGACAAAAAAATTCAAAAAATTTGAAATAATATTATTAAAAGAAAAATAATTTTTGAAACTCAAACATATATTTTTATTAAATTTTCTTGAAAAATCTACACCATATCATGTTTTATATATGTTCTAGAATAGTTTTTAGTACAAAAAATTGATTTCAAATTTTTCCAATTTTTTTGTCTAATTTTGACGTCATGATTATTCCAAGTTAAAAATGACAGGTTAATGCTTATAAGTAATTCTTATTCCGTAGAAAAGGACCTTTAAAATAAGCCTAAGATTATTAAAAAGCGTTCATTATTTTAGAAGTTATTTAAATTTTTGTAAAACATTGAAAATGACGATTTTTAGGAATATCTTCTACAAATTTTGGCCAAATGACTTCTGTAAGGTCTTATTCTTTTCAAAATTTTATCGTCTTTCAAAATATAAACCAAAAAAAATTTTAGTTTTCATGAATTTTATGTTAAAAAATTTTTGTCATTCCTTTAAAAATGGGTGGACTGACAATTGCGGACGGTACTGTAGGTTTTCAATTACTTTTTGAATGTGTACAATGTTTAAAAAATTAACTCATAATTATATTTCAGGGCACTCTTTCCCGATGATGAGAGGTTATGGATAGTAAAGTGGATTAAATTTAATGGAATTAAATTTGTTGCCAACCAGTGCTATATTGGAGTGGGGTACGAGAACAGACTTCCTGTATTTGCCGAGCTGTATAAAATTGTTTGGATGAATGGTGATCCTTTATTCGTTTGCAAAAATGTGCAAACTGTTGAGCACAACAAGCAACTTATGGCGTATGAAATAAAGACAACAGAAAATTTCGTTCTTCATTCATTAAGATCTCTAGTTTTTCACAAAGTATTGCAGTGTCATAAATTACAAGAAAGAAAATTCATCATAGTTAAACAATTATGGGGCGAATTGCATTAATGCAGTTATTACAACTCTGGAATATTTGTCAACTTACGATACACTTGATATTGTTTTAATTCGAATCCACTATTGTAATTTTTTTAGTTTTAAAAAACTAAAATTTTTTATTCGAGAACAACATAAAATATATATTGTTCTATTTTTTGTTTGTAGTCAAAAATAATGTAAACTTTAGTAACAAATATTAATTATTGGCTTTATTAAAAATTAAACATCGAAACATCATCTCCAAAAAGAATTTTTGAGATCAGAAGATAATGTAAATTATTTTTTAAATCTTGATTGTTTATAATTACACATTTTATAAAAATTAAAAACTATAAATATAAATTTTCACGTTAGATTGTTAAATTTAGTTCGATTGTTAAATGAAAAAAATTATGCTTCTAATAACTGCGATATTATTACTAATTAATATTTGAATTAGTAATAATATTTTCATTTTTATATTCAATAAATTTTAATACATTTCTCATTTTTAAATTTTCATATAATAAAATGGTATATTTAATATGAACGAAAAATATTAAAGTAAATTATACTTATTTTTTAAAATCTCAGGCAGTTACAGAAAAAAATTAAAATTTTTTCTTTTTGTGTAAATAAATATGTAACACCTTCTGGCATTGAATTATTAATCCGACTTTAAATATTTATAATTTTAAGGACTTTTTTTTCATATAAAAATAATTTTAAAAAATGTTGAATAATCTAATTTCAATAATAATCAAATTATTAATAATCTTGATATATTATCATTACAGTTTATTATTAATATTACCAACCTTACGCGCACAAGAACGAGAATGTGGTATTCCATTTATTATTATTATGCAAATTACAAAACTTTTTCTTCTCAAATATGAATTTTTGTATAATTTCAGATTCAAACTTTCAAAAAATTCAACTATTAACTAATTTACTAATTAATTATTTTTGTTTATTTTCAATTTAATTTTAATAAACGTGTGAATAATCAAATATTTAATTACAATTATTAATTAATTTATTTATAATAATCAAAGTACCTAGGGCTATATGAAAGCCCACAAGGAACAGTTCATTATTACCAGATACGATATTTTTATAAAGTTGAAAACAATTTTTTGTTTAATTCAATTATTTTTAAAATTTTTCATTTAAAATTATTTTAAAAAATTACATTTTTTAAAAAAGAACTTAAAAAATTCTTCAAAAAAGTTTAATTATATATATAAAAATTCAAATGAAATTATTTAAAAGAATTTAATGTTCAATAAATAATTTTAATAAAAGTTTAATAGTAATAGTATTTAATACATTAAATTTTAAATTAAAAATATAGATTTTGTGTACTTTATTTACTTTCCCTGCAACAAAAATGAGTTCAGTTTTTTTCTGTGCAGCTGTTTCTTCCACTTCCAAAATGCATCGTTTGTTCCAGTGACTTCCGTCATCATCTCACATAAAACTCGAAGATTAGCTTGAGGTTGTCTAGCAGAAACTATTGAAGTGCCAGTTCTAACAACTCCCTTTGTGTCCGTATCGTACATCCTTCTAAGCATGGCAATCTCCTGTTGTGATACAGCTAATTCTCTTTGCATTACAGCTTGTTCCCTATTTAAGAGATCAATCTCGCGTTGCATATCCTCCACAGTGCGTACCTGAATCTGAGGTGGTCCACTACCTGATTGATTTATCTCCTGTTCTTCTATTATCATCTACTCACCCGAAGGATCTACTTCCATCAATCGACCAATAAGCTCTGCTTTCGAACCAGCCGTTGATAAATTTAATGCTTGTAATTTAGCCTTCAGTTCAGCAACTGTAAAGGCATTCGACGGTTTTACAGGCATCTCAAATCGTCCAAAACTCGTATACACAAAAAAACACAGTGAGGTATGACAGTCAACAATTCACAAGGTTGTATTCGACATGAGTCACTTCAAACACGGCTCTGATATTAAACCAGCTAGTGATTTACACATACACTACGAAACTTGATAAAATCACATAGCAAAAGTATGACTGATGCACAAAATGGCGTACCTTTTCTAATTTTTACAGTTCACAAAGTCAAAGGTTAGGCACACTAATGGTATCTTTATTTCCAAATGCAAAACAATTTCTCCCTCTTCTATTACCAAAACATCAAAACCCTTATTCCCAGAAGGAATGATACAAAAAACTCAAACACTCGAAGATCAAACTTCGACAAAATGTCCGATCTAAAATATGCACTCGCGTGTTTTAGAAGCAATTGAGCACATATCCCACTTCTGATACTGTAAGGAATGTCAGGATGCAATCAGAGGGAAACGCAATAAAACACATGGGAATCTCAAGAATTAATTTTAATCTTTATAACTGTGATAATGACTATATAATAAGTTATTGGAGCCAAGGCTCAAGTCGAACTGTCCTACGTTTTCGTACCTTTAGTCATCGTTCTCATTACTCACACAATCACAACACACACATGTAAACACAATACACGACTCTCACATTACGATCTGTTCCAAGTCAGTGTGGAGTGGTGTAAGGGACTGGAAGGTGTCTCGTGAAGATTCCCTCTCGGACCACAGACTTATTACTTTCAGAATGGAATCGAAAGATCGGGAACATAAATGGGGACGTAATCCTAGGAGTACTAATTGGGCTTCATATATTGAGGACCTCAAGGCTTCCATGGAGTGCTTCCCCACCTCTTATGGAACATATAAAGAGTTGGAACTGGCAGCGGAATATCTGCGAGATTCGATTATCTGCTCTTTTGAAAGAAGCTGTGTAGTCAAAAAAGTGGACTCCAACAGGGGTAGTAAATGGTGGAATTCCTGTTTGGAGGGACATAGGCAAACAGTAAGAAAGCTTTTTAATAAAGCCAAGAAACGTAAGAATCAGCAAGCATGGGATGAATATCATGCCGCTCGTAATTCTGACAAGAAAGAGGTAGAGAAGGAACGGGGTAAGCTTTTGCGGGGGACACAGGTCTCCTCAGAGGTGGGCAGATTATTTTAAAATGTAACGCTTCAAACTTAATGGGTAGTTGTTCAAAATGACTTCCAGATTCCAAATTTTCAAACCGATAAATCGTACCTGATCCTCTTTTCGAATTATCTCTTTTACAGATAGTCGGAAACTTAAAAATGTATTATCTTAATGTGGAAGCTTTGATTCAGAAGACTGCTGATTTTTCGTTATTAAAAATTTTTTAGATAAAGATTTTATAGATAATTATGTTCATGATTTTGAGAAAAGTGGGGGTAGGGGAGAGTGGGTCAAGACGGGGGACTTAATGTTTAAAGCCCAAAAAAACAAAAATTATCGAATACATATTTTATTATTTTATTAAATAACCATCATTAGGAATCAGTCTTTAGTAATAAAGGCGCACAAAGGCCATTTGTTTCTTAAAAAATCATAAAATTAATAATATGGAAAAAATTGCAAATCTCCCCATCTTGACCCACCGGCGCGGTACTAAAGAAGCAGCCTATTTCTGTTGACAAATTTTACAAGCAAAGGTTGCATCTTCATCTTCGTCATTGGAACCAGCACAACGGCACAAAGCCCATTGGCCGCAGACAGAAGAAGCAGCCCAGCCTTTATTTGAGTCTAAATAATAACCATTACAATTTATAGAGACAAGGTGTATTTTCCACTTTACCATCGCTAATTATTGATTTAACCTGACAAACTTTTTTCTTTTTGGTCACTTTTATTTTATTCAGTCTTGATTTAAGTAGTTTTCTTAACTTCCCTTATTTCTCTTTTCTTTTGCTTCATTTGTGTACCCCTCCTTGCCCCACTCTTCCCTACCCCATCTTGCCCGCACCTACGAAATTGAATAAAATGATTAATTACTACAATTTACGATTCAACAAAGAAAAAAACATATGCTTCCCTTCTTCTGTAACCCTTGCCAGTTATAAAACATTTTTTATCCCACATGCACAAAAACGGCGCTTTCTGATAGCAGCCGACAGGGAGGAAAGTCATTCATTTCTTCGACCGTATGAAAATGGCGGCCGTGTTCTCCCAAGGGCAAGAAAATTAGCTGTTCACATGCATTTTTCTTGCCCAAGGGAGAAATCGGCCGCCATTTTCATACAAATCGAACAAGTGACTGACTTATACTCCCTGTCGTCTGCTATCTGAAATCGCCGCTTTTGTGCATTAGGAATAAAAAATATCGTAAGTAACACGAGAATAAAGGCAGCCAATTTCTTTACGATGATTTTTGTGACACGAGTGGAGGTCTCGGGGCGCCTACGGCGCCCTCGACCTCCACTCGTGTCACAAAAATCACCGTAAAGAAATGGCTGCCTTTCTCCTCTTGTTGCTTAATATACTATTATATAGTTCATTAACTGTTATTATTAAATAATAAACACCTCCTAAAAAAAGTTAAAAATTCACAAAAAAATCGTCGAAAACAGTTTTTTTTAGTAAAACAGATAAAAGATTTGTTCTCATGGCTTTTAGGTTTTGTAAACAAGAGACTATCGTCTTGGTGCAGTATTATGTAAAATATAATCACAATTGGTTAATTCGTTTGTTAAATAGGGCCGGTACCCTGTCTTGCCCCACTCTCCCCTATAAGTCCCAAAAATCACTTTTTAGTTTTTGTAAATACAACTGTTTTAAAAAATGATTGGATTGGTTTAAAATTTATTACTCAGGGGTTTCGGGGTCGCTGATTGCGAATATGATGTCAAAATAAAAAAATCTGTAGACAAATTCCTAATCAGCGAAACCAAACCCCGCGAGTAACGTGTTTCAGGCAAATTGAATCGATTTTTAAAAGTCGATCGCCATATAGGATCTGGAATCGACCAGAATCTTGATAATCTTTGTGTTAATTACTTTTAGTTCGATTTTCTTTATGATTTTCAAGCGAAGATTCATAAGACGTTTGAATCAAAAGCGTGATTTTGAAAAATCCACCTCCACCATCCAAACCAAATTTTAGGAACGGTGTTTCTGAGAGCCCTCGACTACTCACAATATAATTAATTAATCCTGGTAAATCACTAAATATA